TGAAAAAAAAAACATTAAAGGATGCACCCTTTTCAGTGGGTGTTCCCTTACATAGTATTTTTCGATACAATAAAAACGAAACACTCTGTATGTATTGTACCATGTATCAGGTGAAACCAAAATTGGACTAAATGCTCTTTTATATGAAAAGGTCACTTATACATTTTTCTACAGTTTTATCTTATTAAAAAAGAAGTGTTTTAAGGGTGTGGATAACGCTTGAGTCACCTGGTATAATTACCAATTTTATTTTTATTACCAAAAAATGACACTATTTTGGCAACTTTAATAAATTCTGATAAATATAAAAAATTGTTGATTCAGTGAGCCAATATTTTTTTTCATACATACCGTGCGATCAAAAAAAGAATAAATTAGAGTAGGCGACGATTAATATTTTACAGTTGGCAAAACATTGGCTGGGAATCTGGGCTGGAAATTTTCCACACACACTGAAAATGACCATTCACCGTTTTCGTCTTGTACAGCATTTTTGTAATAACTTGCAACAATAAAAATTTTCTGCTCTAAAGTGAACATTATTTCACTCAAAATGAATAAAACGCAAACTTGTCAAAGTTTCCGCTGACATTTGATGTCAAAAATTAGGACTCTCATCTGAAGGACTTTACTCACCGCCTACTCTAATTTATTATTTTTTTTTTGATTGCATGGTATAAAGTCCATAATACGTAGCTAATTCTGAGATTTTCATTGAATCAAGCTATCTTTTTGTTTAAGTCATATCAAGATTTCGATTCCAAAATCTACAGTTCAACAGATAATTTTTTAAAATTTTAATTTTGAGTTGGCTATCGTTTGTTTTACTGTTGTCTATTTCAAATTTCAATATTTTATCTCAACTAGAAAGACGTTTCCCTCTTTTTTGCGTAATTTTCTATATTTCTAGAATTAGAAATCGTAAAATATCAGTTTTTGTTCTTGGAATCACCCTGTACATTATTTAAACTTTTACCATCCGTTTAATAATATCTCTGATCAAAGTCGCGTGACTTCGAAACTAAGTTGGCAACATTAAAAATATAGACAGAAGCTACGAAAATTATATTCATTGTTGCCAACTTAATTAAAACTTGCAGGTTACTTTGATCAGACAATCGACAATCTGGATTATTTGCAAACCCTGAACCCGGAAATGCATGGTTTTTGGGTCAAAATCCCCCACCACTATATACAGTGTGTTTTTAATTTGAAACTGGGGAAACGTTTAATCGAATGAACTCTGTGCACATGAAAACTTATCAATTTCTCGCAAGAATCGTCGGCAATGTTCGTAACTCGTTGGATGTAAGTTTTCGTATGTATAGTATATATGCACGTATCGGGGAGAGAGTAGTGTTCGCCGCGCACATCGCAGCAAGCCGCGATATTTATTTTCAGTTGTTTTGAAAGCGCGACGCAGATACGACGGCCCGCGACGTTCGTGAACGCGAAGCAGGCCATGAATCGTGTCGTCGCACACTAGATGGAAAGTTTCCGTGTCAGAAAATGTTATGTTAGTGACGGAATTTTTCTCTCTAGAAACGTGCTTTTTTCTGTGGTGTTTTATTGGTGGCATTCTGACAGGAACGGACCTTGTGGATGGTAATTTTTTCGCTACTGATAAGTCTTATCGCACTCGATGGTGGATTTATAAATCGAGTATTGTTGTGGTCCTCTCTCATGATTTGTGATAATGGCGAGTAAATATTTTTGAAAGATTAGGGGGGCGGGGGGCGTGGCCGGTTGTCACTAGAAGGCACCTCCGGAAAAGTTCTGGTTTTGAATCCGGTGATCCACGTGATTATTTTCCCGCTTCGCGACAGTCAGCTGGAAATTTGCATTCGCTGATTAGTCAGCTTTTTTTCAACGCGCGCCGAACTTTGATCCCGCGGAGAGGTCGAAAAATTCGGAAAATTATTCTTTTTCTCAATTGATAAATATTATTGGCGCCTTTGTTATCGTTTACGCAATTAACATACAGCAAAACAGTTTTCACGATGATGATTTTTCAAATAGAAAAGTTGAGAAACTTTAATAAAACCGCCTCGATATTGACATTGAAGTTGGCGAGGAGCCAGAAAAATTGTCATGATTTTTTTCAAGTCTTTGAAATCGGACGAAACGCCTCTGTGGAATTTCATTATTGAGAAATTTATTGAATTGTGTCGGGTTTTTCGAGAGGACCGGATGACATTGAATCATCTGTAAATGTCATCGGCATCATGTCAAAGTGTTAATCGATTGGAATTTGACGAAATTCGAGGATCACATCTGGTCGTCTTGCATGAAATTAACGCGGAATTTATCGCCGTTTTCCAATATTGGCGCGTCAGGGGCGGACACAAGGGGCAAAATTTAACGTAACTGGCTGATTTTTTTATTTGCAATGAAAATATTGTCAATCTACTTTTGTATAACAGATATTTGATTTTTTTTTAAATTGGGCAAATGTTATCCTGTTTGAAAAAAATTAATTATGAATTTTTCCACATTTTTTGTAAAATTAGAAAGAGGTATTTTGGAGAGTGAGATAAAACTTAATCACCTGATATAGTGACCAACTCAGTTCAGTGGTAATTTTTCGATAAAATTTTTGTAAAAAAAATAAAAAATTCAAAAAATTAAACTATAAAACATGTTTTGGTTTATTTAAACATACAGACTGTTCAAAATTCAAAAAGTGTGTAATAAGTCATCTATAGAATTCATACACAAAAAGTTTTTAGTTTATAGCAATGTACAAAAATAATTAAAAAAACGAGTTTCATCGATAGTCTTTGAAATTCAAAATTTTATATTCCTAAATTTTATTTTATTACTCCTATTTACTCCTATTTTTGACTAGTAAACAATTTGAAAATTGGACAAAATGTTTTTATACAGGCTATTTCAGAACTCGCGCCCTAGAGAAAAAAGTACAATAAGGTACCAGGAATATGGAAAAATGTTAAAAACATTTTATTTATAAGAATTTTGAAATTATGGAGGTTTATAAAAAAATTAAAAAAATCTACCTGACGACTTAAAAAAAGATAATTTGATTCATGAAAATATTACAGAGTTAACTACGTCTTATGGACTTTATACGTATAAAAAATAGTCTAGTAGTGGGTATTTATTTCTCGATAAAATTTTTAGAAAAAATTAAAAAAATTCAAAAAATCAAACTGTAAAAACATGTTTTGGTTTATTCATATATACAGAGTGTTTAAAAAATGACGGCATCAAGTCAACTATAGAATTTAAGTGCTTGTAAAAATAATCATATTATACCCAAAAAAACTTTCTAGTTTATAGCAACAACAGGGTGTCCCTAATAAAAAAAAAATTCTGCGATAATTATTGAAATTAAAAGTCTCATATTCTGAAATTTTATTTGAAAACTTTTATATTACTTTTATTTACCTTTATTTTAACAAGCAAACAATTTTAAAATTGGACAAATTGTGTTTTTATTTGAAGAAATTCCCTATTATTTTTCAGTTCAGAGGTGGGTATTCATTTTGGATAAAATTTAAAAAAAATGAAACAAAATCTAAAAAAAAGTACAAAAATACAGGGTGCGCCAGAACTCGCGCCCCAGAGAAAAATAAGGTAAGATACCATGAACATGGAAAAAATGTTAAAAAAATTTTATCTATAAAAACTTCGAAGTTATGAGGGTCTAAAGTTTGGATTTTGACTCTATTTATTTCTGTTGGAAAAATAATTTTCCAAGTTTTTTTGCTATAGGCTATTAAAAGAGGAAACAAGGAAGCTGTATCCCAAATAGTAACTCTGTTCAATGTTATTTGTGGCTTTTACTGGCAAAATTTTTGTCCCTTTACTAAATAATTGTTAAAAAAAATATACAAGATTATCAGTATCCTTAAATAGATATAAAAAAATGTCAAATGTCAATAAAATAAATGTCAAAATTTTTTGACAGATAGAATTTTTTAAACATTTTTTTCATGTTCCTGGTTTCTAACCTTACTTGAAATTTTTTTCTGTGGCGCGAGTTCTGTCGCACCCTGTATGTTCTGGTTTATTCATACATACATAGCGTTCAAGAAATGTCTGTATCAAGTCTACTATAGAATTTGGACATTTGAAAAAATAATTGTATTATAAATACACGAAAAACTTTGTGGTTAGCAATATACAAGGTGTCCTGGGAATAATAAAAAACTAATTTCAACACTAAAAGCACAAAAAATGTTTTGTCAAGTGGCGGGTTAATTATAAATAATAATAATAATATTTCTGGAATACTCTGACTTTAAAAACACGTTTTAATGTTACTGAATAACGGGTTTAAATTAAACGCACAGTATATTATTTAAACGACAAGTATTTTTGATCAGTAAAAATAATAAATGCACAGTAAAGACTAGCAAAACTAATTAATTTAATATTCACATATTTACGAACAAAATATTTTCGAGCAAAATCGGAATTTACAAAGCGTTCAAAAACAAAATTCTGGATGATTAGACTGATTACCATTTGTGCACAATTTCCAGTCCTTGCTAAAATGATTCTTGCGCACGGGTCCTTGCTAATACATATACCACCCTCCAATAATAATAAATATTCAGTAAAATAAAAATAAGTAACAATAATAAATAAATACTGTCCGTGCTTTACTTAGCATTTATTACTATTACTGTGCAAAATATTATACTGATCATTTTTAATTTTCACTGTGCAAAAATTAATTAAATACAATCAGTGGTAAATTTTTCAAATCAGTGGCGTACTACGTGTTTCCACTCTGAATCTTATCTCGAGATGCAGTGTTGGATAAGGATAGATTAATATCAAACTGATTGTATAAAGAGAGAAAGAATGGGTGTATAGTGTGAATAATTTTTCGTGGCGCCGCCCCTGACCGGCCATTGTCCTCCAATCGAGTCGATAAGAATTGCTTGCGTCTCTTAAAACGATTTCTAATGGAACATGTGATCGGACACGTCGAGGGTCCGTTTTGAATAATTCATGTTCGCCCCTCACAGATTCCGCGAGGAAATGAACCTGAAGCGAGGCCACTTGTGCGATAATTCAAAAAAGTGGAAGGGCAGTTAAGCCTCAAGACGGCGTCGTCAAATTTCATCCAGAAGAAGAACCGGAAGAGGCTGAAACTGCAGCTGTTCCGGCCTGACGTTAAAGAACAGTGGGCGGTGAATAAACAGAGGAAAAAGAACGGCACCGTTCTGGGGAAAGTCAGTGGCGTAGCGGTGACGTTGAAACAGTGGTGGCGCGATGTGGGGCTGTGCCCCAGGGCAGCCCCCTCGACGGTAGGCGGCCCCCTCGCCGCGAGGCATCGCTGCTGTCACAATAAGAGGGGGGCCAATCGATCCATGGGACAGGCCTTCAGCATGTGTAAACTCAATCATTGCCGACATAAGAAAAGTAAGTCACTTGGCTTGGATTCAGTGATGCCAGATGAGATTAAGCGCTTGTACCTAGATTGTAGCTTCCAAATTCCCTACAATTCCCTAAACTACTTAAAAAAATTAAAAAGATACTATTTCATAGGCCTATTTTGTTGAGGTAATATAATATAAATACAACATAAAAATGTGTTAACTCCACACAACACAAATCAATAAATAATCCAGTAAATTAAAATAAATTTTACTAAAGAAATAAAAAAATAAAATACAAGTCAATTAAAACAAATTCAAATAAACGTGTATATTTAGATACCTACTTAATTTTTATTTATACTTATAAATTATGGGATTTCATTAATTTGAAATATTCGTCTAAAACGTTAAATGAATTACAATAATTAGTAAACTTGGCAACGCGAAAAACGCAAACAGCTTTTAGTACACTTCCTAACTTGTTCTTGTTTTTGTCCTTAAACATTCAAAAAGTGTCTGTATCAAGTCATCTAGAGAATTCATACACAAAAAAGTTTTTAGTTTATAGCAATACAAAAATAATTTAAAAAAAAACGAGTTTCAGCGATAGTCTTTAAAATTCAAAATTTTATATTCTTAAATTTTATTTTATTACTCCTATTTACTCCTATTTTTGACTAGTAAACAATTTGAAAATTGAACAAAATGTTTTTATACAGGCTGTTTCAGAACTCCCGCCCTAGAGAAAAAAAAAGTAAAATAAGGTACATACCAGGAATATGGAAAAATGTTAAAAACACTTATTATTTATTTATAAGAATTTCGAAATTATGGAGGTTAATAAAAAAATTAAAAAAATCTACCTGTCAAAAAAATTTGGCATTTATATTGATACGACTTAAAAAAAGATAATTTGATTCAATGAAAATATTACAGAGTTAATATAATATAATATAATATAATATAATATAATA